ATCCATCCATCCATCCATCCATCCATCCATCCATCTATCTATCTATCTATCTATCTATCTATCATCTATCTATCCGTCCGTCCGTCCGTCCGTCCATCCGTCCATCCATCCATCTATCCATCTATCTATCTAGTGTGTGTTTATGTGTGTGTGTGTGTAGTATACATATGCAGATGCACATTTTGTATCTTTGAACATATCTCTCTGTTCAGATTAAATGCATATCTTTAAAACAATGAAAATTCTGTTCAATTAAAATGTGTATTATTAGATTGAATAAACTATATAAACTATAGAGTTAAAATTTTATGACAATTTGAACTACAAGTTCAAGAAAACGAATCAGGGAATTAATTCAAGTTATAAAAAAGTCAAAATAAAAGTATGCTAATTACAGTTTTTCTCAGTCGCTTTGGTACATTTCTCAGATCAGAATTGAAATTTTCAAAACTACCTGTTCAATCTTCACATCATTGTCACTTGTGCACATCAAAAAAGCAGTTTCTCATTTCTTTGAACAAGTTGCAAATGCTTTGGTACATCCATGCAAATGATTACGTACAATTCTCTGCTGTTTCATACATTATCAATTGCTTATGTCATGTTGATCAAAATGTATTATAATGGGTCTTTGTTGAATAGTCTCACCCCCCACAACATTTAGGCATTAGTTCATAGCATAAGTCTTTACATGCAAAATGGTTGAACAAGTTGTCATAATATGTCAAGCATATTTCTATACATTTCCATTAGACTTTTTTTCTAAATCTGTCCTGCATTGGTAAATTGCTCCCAGGTGAATCTTGATTTTCTCTAACGAAGGTGCATCTCATGAACCATCAACTGGCAAGTATATATATAGCCGGAGCACAACACAATGTTTCAATGTCTGACAATGGAAGGACAAGGAATTGGACGGGGTCAACAGCCAGAGAGAAGAAGAAGAGGAAGAGGAGTGAGGCTGCGTGGCGGAGGAGTTGGGAGGCAAAACAGAGGAAGAGGCAGAAGAGGCCGAGGACATATGCGTGTTCCTGATGAGATAAGAGCCACACTTGTAGACCACGTTCTCAATCATGGGCTTACAATGGCCGAGGCTGGTCGAAGGGTGCAGCCAAATGTTGGGAGAACAACTGTGTCCTCAATCATTCAGACTTTTCGTCGACAGAACAGGTATGTAATCTAACAATAGGCACTGTACTGTAATACTGTATACTTTCTGTAATGCTTCATACAATATTACAGTATTCCACTTGCATTTTACAATATACAGTAAACAGTGACATTTTATCTTACTCAATTTTGTGTTTTGCATTACTATATTTTTTCTACATAGGACTGCAAGACAACTTCACAGGGGTGGCAGAGGGCCCCTTTTCACACCTGAACAGGAGGAGGCTATTTGCACCATGGTTGTAGAAAACAATGCCATAAGACTAAGGGAGATAAAGAGTGCCATTATAGAGGACAACAACATCTTTGAAAACATCCAAACAGTCAGCATCTCAACCATTGACAGGGTGCTGAAAAGACACCAAATGAATATGAAGCAGCTGTACACTGTTCCATTTGAAAGAAAGAGTGAAGGAGCTGCGCTACCAGTATGTACAGGTAAAACAAATGACAGTACAAACAGTAAAAGCATAAATGTGAATCTTGTCCAGTCTCTTGCAATCAAACTCCCACATACACTAAGGTGTAACCTACAATTTACAATAATTGTCATCAAAACTGTAGCCATAGTTTACATCAGAACATCCCTCCAGAGTACACTGTTATATTGACAACATGACTAAGCAATTTGACTGTCTTATCCGTACACAATGACACAAGGACTTGTCATTCTGATGTCACTGACATGTTCATTGACACAGATATTTATTTTTGAGAGATGAACTAAGGATTTTGAGCAAGAGACAGGTAATCCATGGTGTTTTGCTATTTGTACGAGTTGTTTTGAGAAATGCACTTACTGTTGTGCAAATGTCAAGGATGATTCGAGAAATGTACCAAAGCGACTGAGAAAAACTGTAATATATGTATACACAGTAGCATTGAAATAATAATAATAATAATAATAAGATCAAACAAGCATGACTGGTTGCATTACATCTTTAGAATGGATGCAAAGCAAATTAAACTGAAGATATAGATACAAATCACAGTGAATAAACATATGCACACATCTCTACAATGTATACCAGGTTCGGCTACGTTTAGTTTTGCTTTCATTGTGTCACGTGTTTTCCAGGAATCAGATTGTGGGTCCAATAAATAAATAAATAAATACATAAATGGATCAGCGTGTGTCTGATTAAAGCTGCATTGTGGAGGCTGTGAGCTGCTGCAGCCTCAAAACAAAGACAAACAACAGACCAAGCGTGAACAACATACAAACAGAAACACCAGTAAAAGCCAAAGCACGCACTTTTAATCCCGAGAACACGATTCAGTTCTCGTCCTAAAATAAGGGACAGGACTGTTTGGACTGAACAAAAATATTAACCTATTCAGCCTATGGTTTTAAAATCGATACTTTTTTATTATTAATTTATTTTACAGGAACAGCGCCATCTGCTGGCTGGTTAGGTTTACCACAGCCATAAAATCTGGAGGAATAATGCATGTTTTATCAACTCTCCTGAAATATCTCCTGAAATTTCACGAAAAAATATTCCGTTTTAATGTCTTTTTTTTTTTTCACTATGAAACGCGAAAATCACTGATGATAAACATTATTATTACTATGGGTAAACATCATTTAAACCCTCATCAATTGTATGTTTCATTTGTGTTTCGAAGATTAACCAAAGTCTTATGGGTTTGGAACAACATGGGTGAGTGAATGATGGCAGAATTTAAATTTTAGGTGAACTAACCTTTTAAGAATTACACGTGTGAACAACAATTATGCTTGATTTTAAGTTTTGAGGGTTTAGTCTAGTTTTTTATTGGAGTAGTAAGTATATCATGGCCCACCTTTATAAAAAAGACATCGACAGCATTTTAGAATGCCATCATGCTAGCAATGTGAATCATGTTACTGCTACCAACAGTTTAGAATGGCTAGTTGTGGAAAATATGTTGCAATGGGAGTTTAGACTCTTTTTTTTTTATTGTGCATTGATTAATATTAAGTATTCAACCTTTAATGGGGAACATTGGCAAGCTAATGTTTGATATTGATGGTTCATTGGTTTGCTAGAAATGAATGAAAGGTACAGATGGGGGACATTTAATTATGACAATTTGAAAGGTTCACACATATAGTCAGGTAGTGGCAGCTCTGTTACTCCTTTCTTCTTTGGTGACATTGCTTTCTGAAGGGGGTGATCTGTTCCAGCATAAAAATCTACTTCGAATCATGACAAGCTATTTCCATCTACAGCAAGGGGTTAGATTGATACTTGTTTCATTATGGGATACTGGGATCAGGAATTTGGGTTTTGATTTTAATTTGTTAGCTGTTTATAGTGCTGATTAATACAGAAATCCTGCTTGTGTTCAAATAATTGGCATGACTAAGAAAACTGTATTCGAACAGCATGCTAATTTGCTTGAACTTACATAAAAATGTATTTGCTTTTTGTTTTTCTTTTCAACAGGAGGATGAACTCGAAGGACACGCAAATGCAATAATGAAGCTGTTGGTGATTCACAATCCCACAGTTCGAGGAGGGCCCAGCAGATGTGTGTTGTTAGAGACAGAACCACAAAGTGCATACTGTTGATGGGATTGATCTATGCCCTCAACCTTGAGAATCTCAAAAACCTGGAGTACACCTATGAAGTGTTTTTTGCAACTTGATGGAGCAAAGCTGCTAAAGAAGGTCCGAGGCCTCAAGAGTAAACTAATGGAATGAGCTATCTTTACTATACGTTCATGCTCCGACTGTTTGCTTCATCCAATGAAGAAATTGTTTTATTTTCAAGTAGTTAATTATAGCAAGTAGACTAATTATTATTAATAATAATTTAAAGGGGTCATATGACATTAAAGCATGTCAACATATTCTGTTACACCAAATACACCAAATAATGATCTTTAAAATAGCATCATGTGACCCCTTTAATAGATGAACTGTTGCCTGCTAACAATAGAGCTAATATTACTCTATTATAGGTAATTAGTTCTTACCAGTTACTGGAGATGGCAAAAGCAGTGCTGGGAACACAATTCTTGGAAAATATGTATTGATTCACCTGAATCTATGACAACTGAATGTGCTACTGGAGCAGTGAAAGCATGGTTGATAGAAGAAAGATCACAGTTATTGACACACCTGGAATTTTTGATACTCATGATGATGATGATATGAAGATAAAACATGAGAACGTAAGATGTATGATCGAAAGCGCTCCAGCTGTTGATGCCTTAGTCATTGTCCTGAAGGTCGGGAGGTACACAAAACAAGAAACAGAGACTGTGGATAAAACTGTATGCCTTTAAACATTCAGTAGTTTTATTCACTCATGGTGAAGAAAATAAAAATCAAAGAATTGGGAAATTTGTTCAGAAAAGTTGAAAACTATAGCTGGCTGATAAATGTGGAGGTTGCCGTCACGTCATCAGCAGTAGAGAGTACAAGAGCAACGGGGTTCAGGTCAAAAACCTGCTGGACAAGATAGAGGAGATGGTAAAAGTGAATGGCCACTACACCACTGAGATGCTTCAAAAGCTGGAGGAAAGAAATCAAGTGGAGATTGACAAGAATATAATCAAGAGCAATCTGTCTTTACAAGAGAAAAGAGAAAAAGGACATTGTTCATGAAGAATATGTGAAAAGGCTTGCAGGATTGGCTAAAGGGACACTGATTGGTGCTTTTCTGGACATCGGCATGGGAGACACCGCCTCTAAATGACACTTTATCTTCGCATAACTACATAAATGACTTTGGCTAATGGTTAAAAAAATGGTACTACAGTAAAATGTCCAAAATTTGGATTTCGTTTGACCATTACGTTTGGTATAAATCATTAGTTTAAAACATCCTCTATAGGGAGCAGGAGCATTTCTGTTGTGTTGTTGTGTCAGTTTATTTCATGACCATGTATTTATTTTTTTAAATGTATTTATTTGGAAAGTAGTTATTGAATAAGCATGATCATGTACAGTCATTATCAGAAAGATAATCTTCAGGGTAATCAGAATCCCTCCGATACATATACTGTATATTTAACAGGGGGTAACACACACTCAAATTAACATCCCCATTGCAGACACACACACACACACACACACACACACACACACACACACACACACACACACACACACACACACACACACACACACACACACACACACACACACACACACACACACACACACACACACACACATACACACACACACACACACACCTGACTGAAGAGGTTTAGGTCTGTGAGGCAAGACTTCAGACTGGAGTTGGAGAAGAAACAAGCCATTTGAGTCACGTTATTAAAGTCTCAGATGCATCATATACCATCATATATGACAGACCTTCTGGACGCCCCAGCCTTGTGCGTTTCGCCTCTCGGATTTCATTTAAAATATCTTTAATTGTGTTCTGAGGATGAACGAAAGTCTAAGGGGATTGGAACAACATGAGGGTGAGTAATTAATGACAATTTTAATTTTTGGGTGAACTATCTCTTTAATTCTGTCCTTGTGAACACTTAACAGGCCAGAAAAGCTCCTCCTTGAAGCAACAGGAGGCAAAACATGCAAAAACTAGAAAGAAACTGAATGTAAAACTCTACTGATGCCCACTGACCCTCTGACAACTGCTGAGCTGATTCTAATCGATGTGAGTACTTCGCATTTAATATTTAACACCACCTTAATTGAATATCTTTGCTATCAGACCTTTCTTACCATTTTTTCATTCCAGCAAAGAACCACACCAAACCAATTCATGAATCAATTTAAGCTCTTTTAATGAGAAGTTGTAGTCAACACATGAAAAAGGAAACTGTACGAAAAGTTATTAACTCTTAGAAAGGTTCATGCATTGAAGCTGAAAGGGAAAGTAATTTTACTGCCTCACTTATGCAAAACATTATTGTTAAACATGAAAGCATACAGTAATCATTTTTACCTGCTCAACATTCATGAGTCTATTACATGTTTAGCTTCTGGTTATGTTGCAATCATTGTGATGTCCACCACTGCACTGCCATTGGTCAATCTCATGTCCACTGTTCTGTTTGTATCTACTACTGCTTGTTTTCCCTGTTCAGTGATGCAGGTTTAAATGGCATTGGTTCTTTGGAAACAATATTTGAATGTTAGCTCTATGTACATAAGCCTGGTGCAATTTGTCAGCCCTTTTGTGGATACCAAAAGCATCAAAAAGGCTCATGATTCGACAAACATCCTTCAAACCACTGTTGCTGTGCTTTAAAGAGGAAAAATGATCTTTTAATTAATGAAACTATTTATTTATTTATTTATTTACAGTGGCTATGGAAAAGAATCGCCCCCTTTAAAATAATCACATTTTGTTGCTTTGCAGCCTGAAATGTAGACGGACACAGTTTTTGTTTTATTCAGCTGTATTTACTCAGTGCAACTTATAACATCCAAGTGAAAGATATAACATCAACAAAATCATAATCACTGAGTTGGAAAAAGGATCAGCCCCTTGTGTCAGTATTTTGTTGAAGCACCTTTTGCTTTAATTACAGCCTTTAGTCTGTTGGGATTTGTCTCTACTAACTTTGCACATAAAGACTTTGCAATATTTGCCCACTCTTCTTGGCAGAACTGCTCAAGTTCAGTTAAATCTGATGGTGGGTGTTTGTGGACTGTCTGTCTCATGTGGCCTCAGAATCTTCAAGGTGTGTTTTGGCAAAGTTCAGTCTGACTGCATGTGGCCTTTCTTGAGGAGTGTCCTTTTTTCTCACAACCCTCCCAAAGAAGCCACATTTGTGGAGAATGTGTGATATTGTTGTCACATGTACACAATGATCACTCTTTGTCATAAACTCCTGCAGCTGCTTCAGAGTTGCTGTAGGCCTCTTGGTCGCCTCTCTGACCAGTTTCCTTCGGCTCTTTCATCCGGTTTGGAGCGACGTCCTGATCCAGGGAGGGTCTGTGAATCAATTTAAGCTATTTTAATGAGAAGTTGTAGTCAACCCAGACCCCTCAGCTCCACCCACTCGTTCTCAATCACCCGAATATGCCACTAAAGTCACTCCCTGGGAGGGAGATGATTCTTTTCTATACCCATTGTAGTTAGTTAGTTAGTAAGTTAGTTATCGATATAAATTTTAATGTGAAATTTCCAGTGATCAGCACTAAATAGTGTGTACATTTTCTCTGAAACAGTTATACATGACTTGCAACATTCGTTTTTAATTAATTAATTAATTTTATATATGTATTTGTTTATTTATTTATTTTTTGTGGTTATAGCCTAAGAATCACGGCTGTTAGGAAATGAAATGGCCAGTGAGTTGGGCTAAATTGTTAACATCTTACCTGGAACTCTCTACCCTACCCTAACCGATAGTGTTAACAAAAAACATTTGCTGAATCAACCACTTTTAACCTGCTGTTACATGTCTTTGAGCCTTTTTATCATGACTTGCGTTTCCCCCGACTTGTATCAGAGTTATATGCATTGCAAGTGCAATAATGTACCTGTCACAGAGTCAGGCCTTGTCCACAAGTACACGGGTATTAAAAAAAAAAAAAGTTTTTCCTCCATTTAAAAAACTAAAATGTCTGTCCACATGAAAATTCAAAAACATGCTATGAAGTGCTCTTAATAGCATGCCAAACCAACAGGTGGCGATATAACCCTGACTGTAAAGCCATGTTGGCCAATCAGAAGCCTGATGACTTGACTCTAGGGATGGGCGATACCACTTATTTTGTTTTCGATACGATACCGATACTTTTACAGGCCAGTATCGTCGATACCGATACGATACTTCTAAACTTAACTTTTAAATTATGAAATGTATTAAATTATTAAGAGTAAAATGGGTAATGATACCCACTTAACTTTATATTTGAAACTAATTTTAATATTCAATACGCCTTAATTGCAACTTATTAGGTTATATTTTTGTTTACATGTGGTTAAAATATGTTTACTGTAGTGGTAACCATGGGAATCTACAAATACTATAGCTGAACTATGGTCACGTTCGTAAAACCACCATGGTTCATTTTCATAAGGGACTGCCAGTGAAAGGCTGTTGCATGAATATAATCCAACCTTTTTATTCTGTGACGGCTATGATTTCTATTAACATTACTGAATAGAACATGATCAATATGAACTTTTAACGTTCGATTTAAATAAATGTAATTGCACAAACTATGTAGGCTACAATTTAAATTAGTTTATTGTGAAATAACTCAAACATGTTTTTTTCTGTCCTCTGATAAGCATTGTTCTGCCGTTCCCAAAAGCATCAGTGGTTTCTTATGATACTTTTGGGAAACGCAGCCCTGTTTGAATGCACTGTCAGAAGTGAGTAACGCTCTCTGTGATTGATTGGTTCTGTCTTGCAGCATTTGCGTGTTCAGATGAGCATAAATAGTTCCATCCTACACAATTATTAAACAAAATCACTGGTAAAAAAAAGACACCTTAGTATCGATATTTTTATTTGAGTATCGATACTTTCGAAACACTGCTTCATTGAAACTTCAGAATATAAAAAAACAAAAAAACAAACTTCTAATTGCACCCATGAGAATCAAGTAGTGAAGAACCTTGCAGACGAGCTATAAGCGAGGATACAGGTGTAGTCTATGCAGAAGTCTTTCTTATCAAAAAAACAGATGAACGTATAAATTCTCCCTCCCCTTCACATCTGTCAGAATTTTGTTTTACCTTTGCAGTATAAAATAAACCATACAGCTAATATGTAACATGACACTTCAGTGATCTACAATGTTCCAATGTACAAATAAGCTTTCCTTTGATTCCTCCATCCTCATTTCTTTCCTTGCATCCTTAGGGGGGTTTAACTAAGAGGCGAGGAAAGGAAAGGAGGATGCACAAAAAAGAAACGAGAAGCATCTGTTGTTTTAAACCTTGGTTTGGAAGTTTGAGTTTTGAGTTTTAGCCTCTAGATAGTGTTATATGGTGAACCAATGAATTAGTGTCTAATGGTTTTTAACTGAAACTGATAGGTTAATTTTTAATTAATTTAGGTAGTTTTAATACTTATGCATATATGCTACAAAAGGAGAATGACACTAATTGCTCCTAATTGACCTAGTTTGCCAAACCCTTCCTATAGGACACAAAATAAGCACCACACACACACACACACACACACACACACACACACACACACACACACACACA